TATATATATATATATATATATATATATATATATATATATATATATATATATATATATATATATATATATATATATATATATATATATATATATATGTTTACTGAAATCCTTGGAGACACATTATTAAATAAAAATTTGGAATGACCTAAATCTAGTACTTATGTAAAACATATTGTCAGATCACAGAGAGAACTTTTAAGCCTTTACATTCTCCACAGCCTGCATTGTGGTTGGCTAGACTGGAGACATTTAGTCAAACACTGCACGACGTCTTTGACTTTGACTTTCCCTTTTTTCATGTTATGAAGAAATACTGAAACACAATGTCCTATTAAGTATAGGTTTTTATTGATGTATTTTTTCCCTCTCTCGTCTTTCTTATCTTCATTATATCATGCCCCCCCCCCCCCTATATATATATATATATATATATACATATATATATATATATATATATATATATATATATATATATATATATATATATATATATATACATATATATATATATATATATATATATATATATATATATATATATATATATATATATATATATATATATATATATATATATATATATATATATATATATATATATATATATATATATATATATATATATATATATATATATATATATATATATATATATATATATATATATATATATATATATATATATATATATATTGTGTGCGCTTAGATGGATATTTGCATGTGTGTGTGTGTGAGAGAGAGAGAGAGCGAGCGAGAGAGAGAGAGAGAGAGAGAGATAGATAGATAGATAGAGAGAGAGAGAGAGAGAGAGAGAGAGCGATCAGGATTTACATAAAAAAATATAACTAAAACAATTTAATCAAGAGTGATTGATTATTTAAAAGGCCATTAGCGGTGAATCCCTCGTGGGATTAAGATGTTAAAACATTTGAAACATTTAAAAATCCATTAACAAATAAAATCTCTTATAAATAAAAATAATTAATAAATATCATATGATAAGTTTAAACATGAATATTATGTTTTAATGGTGCAAAATCATTGCATAAACGTTTTGCAAAATTAAGTTTTGCTTCAAGTATTAGTATAATCAAGAGATTTTAATCTATCGAAACCACCTTTGGCCGCCGTCATGGATAAGGTAACCTCCGTAAGCTCCTAAAGGTCGGCCTCAGCTGATGTAGCACAGTCTCCAATCAAACAAGAAAAGCATTACTAGTACCAAGGTCTTGCAAGTTCACCATCTTTCTCGGAGATAAGTGGGTCGAGGCGTAAAGGATCAAACTGGAAATCCTAGATGGTTCGTTGTGACAAATGGAAGATTAGAGTAGAATAGATTTTGTATATTTTTGGCGTCGGAATAATGTTTCTAATATGATATTAACCTCCACAATTTTTGGGATCACGATGGCTTCAGTACTGGTCTTCAAATATCTACCTTTATTACTTATACTATTCCAGGTTTCGCTTTTCTTATTATCGTCATCATCCTAATAGTTTTCCCATGTATCATCCTTATCTTATAATTTCTGTGCTGCACCGGAACTTTGCATTTCGGAAATTTAAATGATCATATGATATTCAATATAATCAGTACCTCTTTATGAAGAGAAATTCATATATTTTTGATGAAGAAGAAAGTTAAGGTTTTTTGTTGGTGTGGTTAGTCATCACACACATTCATTTTAATATGATTCTGTTGGGATTAATCACAATGATGATGGTTATAATGGTTATGATAATAATGGTAGTAATATTAACAATGATGAAGGTAATAATAACTATCAATGGGGTGCTGACAGGCTCTTGTGACTTCAGTCAAACTACGGGTGTCTGGATAATGTGCTGATAAATCATCTATGTGCGTGGAATGGCCGGGATAAATGTGCCGTCCATTGTCATTGCGGAACTCAGATCTGTACTCTACACCACAGCACAATTTTAGACTGGAAGGCCAGAATTTGTTATGCGTGCTCTGAAATAGAACTAATAAAGAATATATGCATATCGTGTGTAAGGACAATCATACTTCTTACTCGACTGTGATTTTATATTGGCCATTAAATAGTAACATAAATAATGATTTCTCATGAAACATCCATAGACTACAAAAGGTTATTTGTTTATGGTCCACTGTAGAGAGTGGAAGGACTAGGGGGACTATAGCTTCCACCGCCGGAGCCACCTCCACTGCCGCCTCCAAATCCACCTCCAAAAGCACTTCCACTTCCGCTTCCAAAACCACTTCCACTTTCCACTTCCACTTCCGCTTCCAAAACCACTTCCACTTCCGCCTCCAAAACCACTTCCACTTCCAAAACCACTTCCACCGCCCACAAAACCACTTCCACCTCCAAACCCACTCCAAACCCACCTCCAAACCCACCTCCAAATCCACCTCCACTGCCGCCTCCAATTCCACCTCCGATACCACCACTAGAACCTCCACTGCCACCACCTCCTACGACTTGACCGCCACCTTGGGAAGCAGCACTCAACGCTGTTTGGAGGTCTACTCCGCCAGGAAGAGTTGGGTTCTCTCCTTCTGCGTAATTCACGAAGAACACTTCGGGATCCGAAGGTGGTGGCGCTGGCACCTCGATCACCTGTTGACCTTGTTCCGACTGCTTGTTAAGGACGAATAAGACGTGTTGCTGCCTGGGAGGAGGAACCACGATGGGTTCTGGTCCTTGAGCACCATCAGGAAGTCTCACGAAAACAATATTCCGTTCCAGTTTAGGTTTGGGAACGTACGCTGGCCGACTGGAAGATGCCTGATTTGGCGGCACGTCATACAAGAACACACGACTGTTCACTTGAGGTGTGACGCAGCTGCCATCCACGTGTTGCACTTGTCCACCGCCACAACCCCCGGCGTTAAAGGATGGCCCGGAGGGCGTTGGTAGGTTGTACCCCTGTGGGGCAGCGGATGCGGCAACCACCATTAATAAAACCTATAAAGAAAAAGAATGTCAGTGAGTTATTTCTGACACACACACACACACACAAAAAAAAAAATGTATACTGTATAGAGTTCACACGTAAATACACACTAAACAGGAGGTTTTAGACTACACACCGCGAGCTTCATGTTGGATGTCGATATCATACGAGCAAGTGACGCTCTTTATATACAACTAGCGGGGTATTGCTCCTCCTACGAATCTTGCGCCGAAACGTCACAAGGCCTTTCCCTTTTTCCTTGCGTTACAAATCAAAGATCCAGAGGATGATGAAGGAAAATGTGTTCCGGCAGAGATGATGAAATAAAATTATAGTATAAATCACTAGATTATCTACACATAGACACTCACACGCACAAAAATGTACACACACACATATGTATACACACACACACACACACACACACACACACACACACACTATATATATATATATATATATATATATATATATATATATATATATATATATATATATATATATATATGTATATATATATATATATATATATATATATATATATATATATATATATATATATATATATATATATATATATATATATACATGTGTGTGTGTGTGTGTATCCATATATAAGAGTGTGTTTGTGTGTGGATATGTGATGGTATGTGTATGGATGTATGTATATGTGTAGATACATTTATATATATATATATATATATATATATATATATATATATATATATATATATATATATAGAGAGAGAGAGAGAGAGAGAGAGAGAGAGAGAGAGAGAGAGATGCGTGTGTGTATGTATGTGTGTGCGTATGTGTGTGTAGTATGACTGAGTAAATATATGTATACAGTGTAAATTGTTGAATTCTATTCCTATTAAGCCATTAAAGTACAAGACTGATATCCTGGTGTTGCTTTTCTTCCTTTTCATATAATTACCATATCATTCTCAATTTTATTTTCATTATCATATTTTTTATCGAATTATTCGTTTGTTGTCATCACTATCATTATCATTAATATTGTGATTATCATTATAACCATTATCGTAATTATCATCATTATTATTATTACCATTATCATCAGCTTCGTTATTGTTGTTGTTATTGTTATTAACGTTACTGCTGTTACTTATGCCATTATCATCATTATTATTATCAATTAGTAATATTGTTATTCTTGCTATTATTATCATCCTTGACCTTTTCACTATTCTTTCAGTCTCAGATACAGGATTTTTTCTTTATTTCTTTTAAAAACATTTTTTTTTTCTTAAAGGCAATACTGATACTCACAAATAATCCCCACCAATACGCTAAAGCACTTTCAGTATCCACATTAGGGTTCTAGAAATTTCAGAACCTTACTCTTTTATTGTCATTTCAATGAACTTTATTGCCTTTTTTCTATTTCTCCACTGCAAACCCATTTATTAAAAAAGAAAAAACACAAATAAAGATAATGATAGTGAAATATACAGAAATATAAATGAGAATGATTATCATATTCTTGCTTATGTTAGCCTCTATACAAACAAAATCCATTATAGGCTTTTCTCTTTTTATACGAGTAATTGCTTTATCTATTTTGAATACCATTAAAAACAAGGTAAAACCTAAGGGCGTGGTCAGTACAATTACCATAATACTGAATTTGACTCAAACTTTAATTCATATCTCCTCACATTTGTAAAAGAAAATGTCACTAATAAGTTAGGTTTTAAACATACCTGACAAATCATTTAGAATGTCAAACAAGCGATTTAGTATCGTAACAAAACATGTGTAAATGAAGATAGCTGGACATGCACATGTTGGTGATGTGTATCTCCAATGTGCGCGTCTTATACACATCACATAATTTGTTATTCTGTTTTTGCTTTTGTTTTGTTTTGTTTTGTTTTCAATGGCCTTTTTTCTTTTAAAGATATGTCAAGACAATGAGGTAATGATACGTAATTTGTATAACTAAAGTAAGGATAGTCATATATTTCTAAAAACATTTACTTATGTATTTATCGACAAATAATAACAAATCTTTTGATATTCTTATATCAACCAGATACTAAATATAAATTGGCCGCTGATTATGGCCCACCGTATAAGGTGGAAGGACTAGGGGGATTGTAGCTTCCACTGCCGGATCCACCTCCACTTCTGCCTCCAATTCACCAAATCCACTTCCGATGCCCACCAGAACCGCACCAATACCACCTCCATTTCCACCGCCAATACTACCTCCAACGCCACCTCCACTGCTGCCTCCGATGCCACCTCCAAATCCTCCTCCGATACCGCCACCAGAGCTTCCACTGCCACCACCTCCTCCACTTCCACCACCTCCCACAACTTGACCCAACAGGCAGCACTCAGCGCCGTTTGGAGGTCTACTCCACCAGGAAGAGTTGGTTTCTCTCCTGCATAGTTCACGAAGAATACTTCGGGATCCGAAGGTGGTGGCGCTGGCACCTCGATCACCTATTGACCTTGTTCCGACTGCTTCGTAAAGACGTGTTGCTGCCTCGGAGGAGGAACCACGATGGGTTCTGGTCCTTGACCACCTCCAGGAAGTCTCACGAAAACAATATTTCGTTCCAGCTTGGGTTTGGGAATGTATGGAGGCTTGACAGAAGAACTTTGATTTGGTGGCACATCATACAAGAACACACGACTGTTCACTTGAGGTGTCACGCAGCTGCCGTCCACGTGTCGCTCTTGTCCTTTAACGCCGGGGGTTGCCCCCGGCTTTAAAGGATGGCCCAGAAGGTGTGGGTAAATTATAACCCTGAGATGTGGCGGATGCGGCAGCCACCAATAATAAAATCTGTAAAGAAACGTAAGCGTCTATGAGAATTTTTTCCCCTATCCTCGTATACTAAATATTTTTCAAACGTACGAAGACAAGGGACACGTAGATTCTAAACTACTCACCAGGAGCCTCATGTTGGATGTAGATATCATACGAGCTAGTAATGGTTTTTATATATACCTAGAAGGCTATTGCTCCTCCTACAAACTTCGGGGCTCAACTTCCTTTCTTTCTTCTCCTACTTTACGAATCATAGTTTCAAATGATGTTAACGGAAAATATTTTCACAGAGGCCATGAAATAAAAGTAAACCAAGAATCACTATATTACATATAGTAGGTACATACATATATACATAAACACACACACATAGATACACACACACACACATACACACATATATGTGTATGTGTGTGTGTGTTTATATATATATAAATATATATATATATATATATATATATATATATATATATATATATATATATATGTGTGTGTGTGTGTGTATATATATATATATATATATATATATATATATATATATATATATATATATATATATATATATATATATATATATATATGGGGGGAGCGTGTGTGTGTTTGTGTTCGGATCGATAAGTGTGATATATTTACATAATATTAATGCCTCTACATGCTGTACATGCTGTGTATAAGAATAAATGTATGTATATATATATTTTTTTTGTGTGTATGTGTTTGGACACAAACGCATATACACATATATATGCATGCATATAATTATGAGTGTGTGTGTGTTTGTGTGGTTTTATGTGGATTTACAGGTGGGGAATGTACACGCAAAAACAAATGAAAAGGAGTGCAATGATCCACAAAGCTTCCCTTGTTTGTGTTCTTCATCAGTTATGCTCGTGGAAAACATTTCAAGTTATACATACCTTCAAGAAATGCATTCATAATGAATTGAATTTTTTATATACAAATATCGAATAATGAAAACAAAAAGAATACAGTTAACTACACAGAATAGAGAGTTTCCTTTTTTTAATGATAAAATAAAGTTTACCTACTGGCACAACTTTCTAGAATTTCCATTTTCCCGGTTAAGTGCTTTATCTATTTGTAAAACAATCACAAAAAGGTAAAGCTGACTCGTGTGGTGATTACTGGAACAACATAACGGATCTTCACAATTTAATCCATATTTGTCCATATTTGTACAAGGAAATGTACTAATGAGTACACCTTACTGATATTTAAGTATGGCAAGCAAATTGTCTATCATCTTAATATCACTTACTATATATATATATATATATATATATATATATATATATATATATATATATATATATATATATATATATATATATATATATATGTATATATATATATATATATATATATATATATATATATATATATATATATATATATATATATATATATATATATATATATATATATATATATATACAGATATAGCTACACACACATACACATGCACATCATCATTAGTTTCTCAAGTATAACACACAACGAACACACACACATTTTCTCTCTCTATCTCTCTTTCTATAATATATATATATATATTATATATATATATATATTATATATTATATATATATATATATATATATATTGCTTATTTAAATATGTATATACATGTATATACATATATACATGTATATATGTGTATATATATGCATATATATATATATAATATATATATATATATATATATATATATATATATATATATGCATATATATATATCCATATACATAAATACATATATATGTATATAATGCAAGAATAATAACATCATGTATGCTTTAATTCTACGGGGTCATGTATGTTTCGGCAGAGTACGTAAACCAGATATTCTAGTATCAGCTGAAACTACTTCATATTCTTGAATCACAGTGTTTTCTCCATTTACGGTCCAGTGGAGGATTTAGGGGGACTGTAGCTTCCACTGCCACATCCACTCCCAATACCACCTCCACTGCCACCACCTCCCACAACTTGACCGCCACGCTAAGAGGCAGCAGCAAGTGCTGTTTGTAGGTCAGGAAGAGTTGGGTTCTCTCCTACGTAGTTCACGAAGAACATTTCGGGAGCCGAAGGTGGTGCCGCTGACACGCGTTGTTGCTTCGGATGAGGACCTACGATGGGTTCAGGTCCTTGAGCACCATCAGGAAATCTCACGAAAACAAATATTACGTTCCAATTTAGGTTTGTTAACGTCCGCTGAACGACTGGAAGAACCTTGATTTAGGGGATATCATTTAAGAACACGGCTCTTCACTTGAGGTGTGACGCAGCTGCCGTCGTGTCCACCGCCACAACTGTTAGCACTAAATGATGGACCGAAGGGCGTTGGTAGGTCGTATCCCTGTGGGGCAGCGGATGCGGCCGCAACCCGCCCTATGACCTTAAAAAAAAAAGTGTTATATAATCTATATAGATAAGATGACATTCTCTCGGCTTCTGGATCACAAATTGACTGTTTTCCTGCAGCAGCTCATAACAAGGAATTTCCCATCCAAAAAATAAACGTTGTTCAGAAAAAGGGCACGTGTGTTTATCAGCCTTTACCTCCTGTGTGTGAGCAAGCGTTTATTTGGTTAATTGATTCTATGAAGTACAATATGATTTGATAAGAAGCAGAAAGAGCGATAATAATGAAAGTGTATGCATATTTGTGAGGGCAAACAGTTTCTAAGTTATTGATTCGGTTCTCTAGAATAGGAAGGCTATGTTTCTTTTATAAAATTATCATACAATAAGTATATATATATATATATCTATATATATATATATCTATATAGCTATATCTATATCTATATCTATCTATCTATTATATATATATATATATATATATATATATATATATATACTATATATATATATATTATATATCTATATAGCTATATCGATATTATATATATATATATATATATATATATATATATATATATATAGATATATATATATATATATATATATATATATATTATATATATATATATATATATATATATTAATATATATATATATATATATATATATATATATATATATATTACTATATATATATATATATATATATATATATATATATTATATATATATATATGTATATATATATATATATATGTATATATATATATATATATATATGTATATATTATATATATATATATATATATATATACATATATATATATATATATATATATATATATATATATATATATATGCATAATATATAATATATGCACGCACAAACGCATATATATATATATATATATATATATATATATAGTATATATATATATATATATATATATATATTATATAATTATATATATACAAAGATAGGAGATTGCAGGGATAATGATATGTTTTAATTGTACGGGCTCGTGTATTTATCAATAAATAATAACAAAACCAAAATCTTGCTTTTCTAGTATCAGCTGAATCCGTATCATATTCTTAAATCACAGAAGTGTTTTGCCATTTATGGTCCACCATATAAAGTGGAGGGACTAGGGGAACTGTAGCTTCCACCAACAGATCCATCTCCAATACCACCTCCACTGCCGCCTCCGATTCCACGTCAAGTCCACCTCCACTGCCGCCTTCGATTCCACCTGCAAATCCACCTCCACTGCTGCCTCCGAGTACACCTCCAAATCCACCTCCACTGCTGCCTCCGAGTCCACTTTCAAACCCGCCTCCAATACCACCTCCACTTCCACCGTCAATACCACCTCCAAACCCACCACCACTGCCACCTCCAAATCCGCCTCCGATACCACCACCAGAGCCTCCACTACCACCACCTCCTACGACTTGACCGCCACCTTGAGAGGCAGCACTCAGCGCTGTTTGGAGGTCTACTCCACCAGGAAGAGTTGGGTTCTCTCCTTCTGCATAGTTCACGAAGAACACTTCGGGATCCGAAGGTGGTGGCGCTGGCACCTCGATCACCTGTTGACCTTGTTCCGACTGCTTGTTAAGGACGAACACGACGTGTTGCTGCCTCGGAGGAGGAACCACGATGGGTTCTGGTCCTTGAGCACCATCAGGAAGTCTTACGAAAACAATATTTCGTTCCAGTTTAGGTTTAGGAACGTACGCTGGCCGACTGGAAGAAGCTTGATTTGGCGGCACGTTATACAAGAACACACGACTGTTCACTTGAGGTGTGACGCAGCTGCCATCCACGTGTTGCACTTGCCCACCGCCACAACTGCCAGCACTAAATGATGGACCAGAGGGCGTTCGTAGGTTGTATCCCTGCGGGACAGCCGATGCTGCCGCTACCAGTAATATAATCTAAAACGAGACATGAGCATGAGTGACTTGCTCCCTACCAAATTTATTTATTGAATTGTATTCCAACGTAAGGAGGCATGAAACATAAGGGTTACGGACTACTCACCGAGAGCTTCATGTTAGATGTCGATATGATACGAGCAAGTGACAATCTTTATATACAACAGATAGCTACTGCTCCTTCTACTTACTTAGAGCCAAACGTCACAAGGCCTTTCCTTTCACCCTTATTTTACAAATCATAGTTTCAAATGATGATAAAGAAAAACTTATTTTCACAGAGACAATGAAACGAATTGAACTGATTCATTCACCACACAGGCTATGTGTGCGTGTGATATATTCACAAAAGGGCGTGGAATATATTAACAAAAATACTGAAATATGTATATGTGTGTACAAATATGTATGTATATATGTATATATATGTATGCATGTATGTATGTATGTATTTGTAAAGGTGTGCGTATTAATGTTTAATATATATTTTTTTTTACAAAATGTGTATATATAGAAAGAAAGATTGATAGGCAGATATAAATATAGATAAATATATATAATATATATGATATATATATCATACAAATATATACTTCATATGTATATATATATATATATATATATATATATATATATATATATATATATATATATATATATAGAGAGAGAGAGAGAGAGAGAGAGAGAGAGAGAGAGAGAGAGAGATACTATATATATATTTCTTCAATAAATCTAGTTTGTGCATTGTGGGGTTTCCTACCATATATATATACGTATGTATTTATATATATATATATATATTATATATATATATATAATATATATATATATATATATATATAATATAATATATATATATAATATATATATATATTATATATATATATATATATATATATATATATATATATATATATATATATATATATATATATATATATATATATATATATATATATATATATATATATATATATATATATATATATATATATATATATATATATATATATATATATATATATATATATATATATATATATATATATATATATATATATATATATATATATATATATATATATATATATATATATATATATATATATATATATATATATATATATATATATATATATATATATATATATATATATACATATATATATAATATATATATATATATATATATATATATATATATATATATATATATATATATATATATATATATATATATATATATATATATAAATGTATACTACATGTTTATATAAACCAAATAAATATGTGTGTAGGAAGATTATGTGAAAGTGATACATAGGGAATATTTATTCATTTTCTATTGTGACTTATGCTTTGTATTTTTTTTTTTCTAGTTCAGCTCAGGAACACGTTTGTTTTGTTTTTTTTTCGTGCCAAACAAGAAAAAAATTCAGTAGTACATTATAATGCCAAGTGTGTATTTACTGAAACATCAATAACTATTCGAAATAAATTAATTTATTAGTATAACTGTTTTTAGTGGTTACACGTCATCTAACCGAGTTCTAAGGAACATTAAAGAGAAAAATGGTCTATTTATATTCCTAATAAATTGCTAGTTAGAGGGAGATCTTTGACATGCCAATTTTAATATTCATTACTACATAACCGAAATCCTGCTGCTGCAGAATTAGTGTGTTTTTTCGTCCTAGACGGGAATTGCCATATTTATTTGCATTTTTCGCTGAGTATTCATAAGGCAATGTCAATAATCAGTATCATCGTGTCACCATAGACCCTCGAAAAGCCACATTTACATGCTTATTTCACAAATTCAATTTCTTTATTGTTGTTCTCATTTCGGTTAGCTTTATCAGCTATCTTATTTTATCAAACTAAACTATACTAAACATTTTAATAGATAACTGGTATTTATTCAGCTATGACAAAATTTACTGTATTATAGTTTCCTTTTTTGATAGGATAATTCCACAGCAATTAAAAACCGAGGTGGATCCGATTGCTTTGCCATTTGCCGCTACCACAAATCAGATTTTCACTAGAAGGATTTTTATCCTTCTAGTGTAAAATACAAATAATCAAATTAGATAACTCAAGCAACGCATATCTAGTAAACTGTTTACTGTTGTAAAAGCGTATGTCAACCAAAGTGTTTATTGTCGTATAAACGTTTACAAATATATTCACACATATATATTCACACACGAACACAGATCATGCACATATGGCTAAGCGTGTCATCAATGGTTTCTCAAGTTGATTCTTCCTGTTCCCCTGTAATGCAAGATGTTCTTGAATAGCTATACTTTTTCGTGCACTCCCGCCTTTCATGAGGTATGATATAGACGATGACTTTGCTTCTTGATGGCATTTTTTTTTTTTTTTTTTTTTTTTTTTACAGAAGATGAAAAGATGA